AACCTTAGGAGATATAGATGTTGATATTGATCTAACTTTACCATCTGACTCCCTTGCTGACAACCCTCAGAGAAATCAAGTTTTATTAGATTTGAGTGATTTTGACTCTGATGAACACTCTGATTCCCAATCAGAACCCTCTCAGTCAGAACCCTCACACTCAGAACCCTCTGAACCATCTGTTTTTCAACCCATTCCTACTGAACACTTTTTAAGACATCCTCCTAGACCTCTATCACCCAGTCCATCTGGATGGTATGATGCTGGTTCTTGGAGAATTCCAGGAATCACCATTCCTCTGGCAACACAAAAACCACCTTTCACCTTACCATCTGAAAACATTTTTGCCATGAACCAACCACAACATCAGAACCCCACTCTCACTCCTGAAATGTATCTTCTAACATTTAGCAGGATTCCTTGCTCAGAAGATTACTTGAAAGCAAGTGTTGTTCAAAAGTTATTTGAAAGCAAGCACTGATCAAGTTCTTAGCAAGCAAAGCACTGCTTAGAAGATGTGTAAAGCATGTTCTGAATTAAAGACGTTGAAGCAAGTTCTGAAAGAACGTTAAAGCCAACTTGTCTTGTCAAGCGTAGGAAACATGTTCTTACAAGTTTGTCGTTTGCTCATTAATGCAAAGACGACTGCAAGCACTCAAGTGTCTAAGCTAGTTTCTTGGAAAATGGAATAGTGCAAGGAAACATGCAAGCATTTAATGCTCTCCACTTTTCTTAAGGAAGCAACGGTCTTATTGTTCCTACTATAAATAGAAGGACATTTATTGCAAGCCAACTAACGAACAAACCAACGAACGAATCATTTTTCAAAAAGAGAAGCAAGAAACTACGTGAAATATTCTGGGCTCACAAACTCTTTGTTCATACACTTTGTACGATTTATTCTAAGTGAAAAATCACAGTTGTGATATAGCTTGATTAGAAGAAAATTTTATTTCACTATTTGTAAGATTAAACTCTTGTAATTGTTCCTTGAGAGACCAAGTTTGGTCAGATTTCTCAAGCAGACTAGGACTAGATTTAAGTCTTGGTGGTGTTAGTCACTTGTAAGTTTACTTGTGCGTTGTTAGTCACAACAGTTGTTGTGTGTTTGTAATCTTTTGATTATAGTGGTTTAAGTCCTTGTTGAGAAAGGCGAAATCACCTTGACGGGTGGACTGAAGTAGTTTGAGTTCAAACGAACCAGGATAAAAATAATCTTGTCTTTCCATTATTGTTGAGCTTTGTTTTTTGAAAAGAAAATGAGTCACTTATCCCCCCTCCCCCCTCCTCCCCTTCTAAGTGTTTTCTTACCCCTTCAAGCAAAGGTTGAGAGACAACCCAAAGTTGTGATCTTGATGTGTTGCAAAGATGTAAAGATGATGAGGAATCTTAGGGATAAAAATTATGTTATAACACTTTGGAAACAATAAAGTTAGATAATAACTCTTACTTTTTACTAAAATAAGTTAACCAATTATTTATTCTCAAATTTTTCCGCTGCGACATACACAAGGCCACCTAGTCCATTCACTTTACAAAATTAGACCTCTTTGTATAAAGGCATAACTTTTTTTTCTCCAATTACGCAACTAGATAAAATATTTTTTTATCGCTAACATTTTTTTATGTTATTTTTTATAATTTATAAGAAAAAACTTATTAAAATATTAATTATTTTTCTTAAAGAAAATTTTATAAAATTATATTAATTGTCAAGTAATTTAATATTATAATCAATATTTTAATTTTTTAATTTATTCAAATAATATTATTTTTAGGGACAAATGTAATAATGCATATAAAAAACTACTATAAGTGAAAAATTAATCAAATCTATTTTAAGAAGTGAATTTTAATAGTAAATTCAACTGTTTTGTATTAATCTTTTTTGCAAATATAAAAGTATATTTGAAAATTTTAAAATGATAATAAGAATTACAAAATTATTTCTACCAAATATGATTTTTTTTACACACTAATTATGGATTTGTTCATCACTACTATTAACACAAATGAAAAGATATTAACCTGAAAGTGATAGAAGTAATATTAATTTTAAAAATTATTATATTAAAAATTCAAAAAAAAATTATTTTATTTTGAAACAAATTTTTCTATAAATAATTTTATTTGAATGAATTTATAAACTTTATCTTGAGTATGGGAGAGTACTTTATAAGTTTATTTATTTATTTATTTATTAAATTAGTTTCAATAATATGAGAGAGTAACTGACTATAAATTATTTTTTAAATAATATTTTCAATACTAGTGAATTTTTTAAAGAAAATATTTATAAATTAATATTTTGAATTTTGAATAACTAGTCATTTTAGGAACTTATTAAATACATTTAATAAAGGATAAAACTTAAATGCAATTCTTTAGGTTTGATTCTTATTTTTTTCTAAAAAAATTATAACAAAAATATAATTTTCTCTTACACATATGCAAGTTTCTCTTATTTTTACTCCTTATATTATATTTAAATATACTTGTCATCGTTTGTACTATGGGTGTTCAAAATCAAACTAACTCAATAGAAAATCGTAAATTGAACCGAATCAAATCGAAAATCACAAAAAACCACATTTTGTTCGGTTCTGTTTGAGTTATTTTTTAATAAAACCGCATGGTTCAGTTCAGTTTGTGGTTTGTATTTTGTAAATCAAATCAAACCACATTTACAACTCAAACTTCACTTAACCCACATCCAACCAACATCAAACCTATTATACCTTAGTCTTACGATTACGAAATATTTTCCCTTCCTCACACTTAGAGTTTCATATTCAACCTTGTCATTCTCTCCTAGTAGTATCGCGCTTTCTTCTCTAGGTACAACTCATGTCTTCTGATGTAATCTTTACTCTATTATATTTTTTCTTTTTCATCTTTTCGTTTTTATGTTATTTCTCTCTCTTTCTATGTCATATTTTTCACACCTCTTCTACTCTAATCTCTCTTTTCTTCTATTATTTCCTTTTTATCTTCACTAATTTCTTATCTTCTCTTTTTTATTTCATTAAAATGTTTTTTATATTGTTTTATGCAATTCTTTTTGTCTAATATGATTTTTATATATTAAATGAGAGGTTGATGTCCAAAGGAGGTGAGTTTTATTGTTATTTGATAATGTATAATGACTAAACACAAAATTATGTTATCCTATATACGTATATGTATGACTCAATAACAATTTTGTAAAAAACCGAATCGAACTAAGCTGCATTAATTTGGTTTGATTTGGTTCGATTTTATTTCTAAAAATCAACCGAACCAAACCAAACCACACACATTTTCTCTTGTAGTTCAAATAATTTTTATCTTCAAAATCGCCCAAACCACACCGCAAACACCCCTAATTTATAATATTACATGTTACGCTTCAGTTTACCAATGACTTTAAAATCTCATAATAAATGAGATTTATGTAATATCATTAAAAATTATTATTAAATATTTATAAAGAAGATCAAATATAAAATTATTTTTTATTATACTACAACGAATAATATATTTTATAAAAAATCTTTCATTCCAACCGATGAGTAGTCAAGGTGAAAACTATATACATGTCACATTTTATTTATTTTTATTTAAAAATATTATGTATTTTCTCGGTTGAGCTAACACCTGAGAAAAAAGTATTCTGAAGTTACGTATTAGAATTTCAACAACTGCATTATAACAACTTTGTAATTTCTTGTATTTTTGTTTATGATCTATTATCTTGGTTGAGCTGTCAATCTAAGGGAAAAGTATTCATGAGACACATCTTTGAATCTCAGTATATGCATTTTAGCATCTTTTATTTTATTTTTATTTTTTTCCATGATCTATAACCTTGGTTGAGCTAGCATATGATGGAAAAATTATTCTGAGAACACGTCTTCGAATCTCAACAAATTCATTTTAGTATATTTTCATTTTTTTTGTTTATTTTTGTTTATGACATATATCTCGGTCGAGTTGGTAAATGAAGAAAAAAATATTGATCAACCCCTTTAAAATCCCAATTATAATTTAGCGCCTTTTTATTTTATTTTTATTTATAACATATTACCTTGGTTGAGCTGGAAATCGAAGGAATAACTTTTGTCCAATTTTGAGAAAAAATTAAATAACAAAATTGTGTCATCGATTTATGAAGTAAAAACGGCTAAGACATTATTAACTTAGCAATCCACATGAAAAATCAGTGATCTACATGAAACTCTCATTGAAAAATCAAAATGGAAAAAAATGATAACAAGAGCAACTGTATGAAATAAAACACAATTCTTTAGGATGAATCACAAGAGCGGAAAAATGTTTTAAGGTTGGTTTCTTAATATAATCATTTTTCTTGTAACTTTATGTTAAAAATCTTAATGTTAATTAGGAAAACATAGATGTAACTTAGAAATGTAAGTTGTTGTTGTTGTGTCAAGTAAAAATTTTATTATTGTTGTTGTCGTTCTTATTGAAATTTAATGTTTAACATTTTTATTGATTTTATTTATTTTTTGTTGATCTTGTAAGTTGTTGTTAGGAAAAATTTCAAAAATTAAGTCACACATTATTCTCTTGGATAAGTCCAGTTGTAACCCCATTTTCTGAATTTTTAATAATTCCATTTAATAAATAATATATATATATATATATATATATATATATATATATATATATATATATATATATATATATATATATATATATATATATATATATATATATATATATATATATATATATATATATATATATATATATATATATATATATATATATATATATATATATATATATATATATATATATATATATATATATATATATATATATATATATATATATATATATATATATATATATATATATATATATATATATATATATATATATATATATATATATATATATATATATATATATAATTTATTGTTAATCGATTCCATAATACAATCCAAAATTCAGGGTGGCTTGATTGAGTAGATCCAAACACTTATACTCTTGGTCTAATTAAAATTTCCAACTGCCCTAAAAGTTTGGCCAGGCTGCCAACCTGCAGGGATCACATTATTGGCAACAAAGATTTTGCCAGTCTCAATTGTGGTTAGCCTAATAGAAAATGGTGCATGAAGTAGTGCCCCTTTATCAAATTTCCAAACAGCACCCCATGATCGTTGCATGGCTTCCCATGTTGCTGTGTCTTCTTGGAGCTCAACTGTTTTGAGATCACCATCCCCGTCTTCATACTCAATTACAATAGCAAAATATTGTTGGTTAGATCCAGGATCCACACGAAAAGTTATTGATACCCCAGGATAGTTGCATGCAACTCTGCAAAAAAAGTATAAAAAAATTAACATATTTAATAAAACAAATAGCAAAGAAAAATATAGATTACCTTTGATATTGAACTGCTACTTTCCCAGCTGTTCGTAGCTTCTCAGCTTGACCTGAAATTGCCATGGAACTAAAAGCTTTGCCACTCAAATCAAAATAATGACTACACTCAGGACACTTATCAGTGATAACTACTGTCACAGGGTTTCCTGAGCATGCAGAATTTCCTGTGCACGTAATCTGAAATTAAAAACAAAAAATGTAACAATTTTTTAAAATATTTTTTGGTCACAAATTTATCTTTTTTGAGTTGCATTGTATAAATTGTTAGACCTCATAACAAGAGCCACATCCTTCGCCTTCTTGGAAGATGAATTGGCTTCCGGCTGATATCATTGAGTTGAATGGAGACAGGCCAACAGCATTTCCATATCCACAAGCACCGCCTACACAATAATAAATTTTCTAGTTTACATGCTAAAGATTTAATCTCAATGAAGGAAAAACTTTGTGACAAAAATTTATACATATATATATATACCTTCACTTCCATCACCGTCGGGAGGTCCATACCAAGTAGCCATTGAAGATGAAGAATCTGAATGAGATGAGAAGTTCGAAGTAACAATAACAAGTTTTTTGGGTTTAAAACAAGAGGAAGGGGTACCTAGGAATATTGAGAGTGAACCTACAAAGATGAGTATATGTGAGAATGCATGTCCTAAAGTAAAAGCCATATTAACACAACAACACTGAGATTATGTTCTTGGTAAGTACTCTATGGTTTGAGGAGTAAGCTAAGGATGATACAGTACTTATAGAGATGAATTTCTAAGAGTTTGACACAACATTTTTACGAAAGAAAGATTATATCATATAGAGATGAAGTTCTAAGAATTTGACACTATATCAATTTTTTATTTTGATTTAATATTTTATTTAGTTTGTCTAGAATTTATTCATAATTTTTTTAAAGATTATTTTGACATTAAAAAAGAAAATTGAATATTTTATATAAATAAAACACGTTTTACAGAGTTTAAAACTAAATAACATGATCCAAAATATATATAAAAAAAGACTAACTTTAAAATTTAGATACAAACAATTATTTTAAGAGATTTGACAACTAACTAAAATTCTATGGATAAATGGTCTATAAAAATTAGGAATACACTTTCTCTTAATTTTCCCTTGGTAAACAAACTTAAAAATAAGACAAAAAATATTTTGGGATCAAAATTTCCCAAAAAATATTTAATATTTCAAAAACAAAATCGGCATGGTTATAAAATTAAGGAATTATTTAGTTATTTAATTTAATTTAAACTTCCTTAATTGTCATTTATTATTGACAGTTCATTTACCATAAGTTTAAAAAGTCAACAAAAAAATAAGAATATAAAATTTTATAATATAAATTTGACTTTACTCTTTAAAATATATACAGACAAAGTTATTTAATATAAACTACAAAGAAACTGACTTTGAATCATAAATTCCAAAAAACATGAAAATCCATTAGTGTGTAAAAATAATATAAATTTAAATAATAACGTTTTCTATAACTTATTTAAGTTAGTTACTTCGGTAACTTATTCACAAATTTTATTTATAGATTTATTTAATTTTTTATGTATTTTTAATTATTTATGTGTTATTTTTATTATAATAATAATAATAGGATAAATTAAGAGTTATTAAAATAAAATATTAAAAATAATAAGAAATTAAAAGATTGTCATTATTTAGAAGTTATGGGATAATAAATTGAACAAATAAAATAAAGGATGAAAAAGAAAAATAATTAAAATTAAGTGGAATTAAGTGGAATTAATAAGAATAAAATAAAGTAGGATTTTATTTTAAATAAGACTAGTGAGATTAAGAAATCACGCGTCTATTTAAAGAAAATAGAGAAAAAGAGATAGACTCTAGAAAGGAGAAAAATAATAACGATAAGATCTCCAATCACAACGAATTAAAGTTTTTTCTGCGTAATCGAGGTTTGGGGGGAGATTGTTTTAAATTTGGTGTTTAATCTTTGGGATATTGGAGATTCTCTTTGAAAGATTGTTATTTTGAAACATATATGATTTGTGCAAAACCCCTATGATTATGATGTATATGTGATTTTGATGTTACTATGTTGATGACAAAATTATGTGTAAATATGTGTTGAATTTGGATCGTTGGTGTTCCTAGGGGTATGTGATAAATTGATGAATAAATATGAACTATTGATGTTATATGCGTTAGAATTGCATTTATTTTGATGTGGAAATTATTGCTTATTCGTACGTATCGAATTCCGAGTTTTGGACTGTCATGAAATTGGGATAAATTGAGATTTAGAATGGCTACGGTGACAGAAAAATGTAGAAAATCGCTGATAAACATATAAGGGGATTAATCGTCTTGTTTAATGCGTAACTTGAGTTTCATAAGTCTTTTTGAGGTGCAGTCAGTTACGTTAGAAAGCTAATGTGATAATCTTTATGTTAAAGTGAGAAAATTGAGTATACGAGTGCTACAACAGTAGTAGTTCTCTGGTTTTCATACCAGAAACATGGTCAAAATTTTGTCATGTGTTGGTCATCTTATTTCATGTGTAACTAAAGTTTCATAACTTCGATCGAGTTGCAATCAATTACGTTTGAATGAGTGTTTAAATAACCTTTAAACTAGAGAGTTTCAAATTTTATCTTAAGCCTGTAGTAATTAGTGCTATTATGAAGTTAGACATTTTACTTTAGAGTTTATGCAGAAAATATTATGATATAGTTGAACTGAAATGAATAGAACTAGAGTTAGAATATTTGGTGCTATTGTTCAGTTAGACATTCTAATTTAAATTTTATGCAGGAAATATTGTGATATGGCTGAACTGAAACAAATATATCTAGAGTTAGAAAATTGTGGTCGAGATGCAATAAAGAATTGCATTTAAAATAGGGTTTAAAGAATATTTAAACTGGTGTCATAAGTCTATAATATTTGGTGCTATTTTGAAGTTTGACATTCTTTTTTAGAGTTAAATCTATGGTTTACGAAAATCCTACTAATTACAATTTGAAAATTTAGAGTTAAATCAAGGGTTAAGGGAATTCTAAGGGTAAACCTTGAAGGACAAGGATTTTGGGAAACCATTGGAATAATTTCTAATTTCAGTGAGACAATTTTAGAATTATGTCAATAGTTTAGGGAGTCAGTAAGGTAAACCTTGAAGGGAAAGGATTTTGGAAAACCCTTGGGTTGATTTAGAGAATTTGAATATACTTCTAAATATCTTGGGTTTGAATCATTCATATAGTTGTATGTGTTAGGTTGTGATAGTTTAGACGTAAATTAGTTATTATTGTAATTTAGAGCCACCCTGTATATAAATAATGTTGAATGTTGATGGTTTAGGTTCAAGACGAATCAATGCTTTAGCCATAACCGACAGGGTCTCGTGTGATTTATGTTTAGGTTCAGAAGAACTAGTGTTGAGATGTTTAGCTTTGAAAGAACTAGTGTCGATATGTTTATGTTTAGGAGAACTAGTGTTGAGATGCTTAAGACTTTGGTCCAGTGTTTAGGGCTTCTGTCTAGTGTTTAGGACTTCGGTTAAGTGTTAGCTTTAACTGGAAATGTTGATAATTGGTGTCACAAGTTTGGATGGAGAATTACATTTGTTTGTAGCATCATGCATCATACATATCGGAGTTAGCTTAGAACTTCAGTCTAGTGTTGAGCACTTCGGTCCAGCGTCAAGGGCTTCAGTTCAGTGTTGAGGACTTTGGTCCAATGTTTAAGATCACTCAGTAAAATACATCTGATATGTAGTGATGGTACCACATGTATAAGAGTAGATGAGATGAGCATTGCATACTAGATTTTGTATATGTTGTTAATTGTATAATTGTGTTGATTGTTAAATGATATGGTTTACTATGTTGTTTTTACACCATTTAATTTATGAAATGTATTCTCACCCCTTCTTATTTTCATGTTTCTTTAAATGTATCTTATGTAGAATATTTTCAGGTCGAGACTAAGGAGTGATATTTGTCAATTTTACGGAGGATGGCATAGTTTTCCTCTTCAATTGTTTTGTTTCTATTTTATGTTTCGCTAGACGTTTGTCGGATTTTAGAGTTATTTTAGATTACTCTGATCTTATAACATCGAGATGGGAATATTTTACTATGTGTTATAATTTGTTTTAAACTGAGTTACTTGGTTATGTTTGAATTTGAAATTAGAACTTTGGAATAAAAGTTGAGTTTGTCAACATGACACCCTTATTTATCTTAATATTTTCCGTAATATTTTATAAAAATTATTATTGGGAGTTTAAGGTATTACAATAAGCACTTGCAAAAATTAATCTCTTGAGTAAGAGAAGATCACAATAAACAATTAGTAAAAAAATTTTTTTAAAGATTTCACTAATGTTGAATTAATAAGGTATATGACTAGCGCTGAATCTCTATATACTTCGAGGTATTTAATCCTTAGATCAATGGCAGCTTCTAAACCCAGGATACAAGCTTCATATTCAGCAATATTGTTGGTGCAATCAAAACATAACCTCACATTATAAGGTTTATGAAAATTCTTAGTAGACGTTAACACAACCCCAATACCATGTCCTAGTGCATTTGAAGCACTGTAAAACATTAGTCAACATCGTGCCCCGGGTTCAGATCCTTCGTCGGGTCCTAGTATTTCATAGTCACCTATAACCATAATGTATTCGTCTGGGAAGTCAAACATCATTGGTTGTTATTCTGTCAATTATTGATGAGCCAGGTGATCAGCTAGCACACTTCCTTTGATGGCCTTCTGAGTAATATATTGGATGTCGTATTCGAAAAACAACATATGTCACTGAGCAATTCTTCCTGTAAGAGTTGGCTTTTCAAACACATATTTAAAAGGATCCATTCTTGCTATTAACCACGTAATATGAGTTAACATATATTGGCTTAGTCGTTTAGTGGCCCAAGCCAGAGCATAACAAGTCTTCTCGGGGAGTGAGTATCGAGTTTCACAGACAATAAATTTCTTGCTTAAGTAGTAGATGTCGTGCTCTTTTCTATCTGTTTCGTCGTGTTGACCCAATACACATCCCATAGATCCTTCAAGCACTATTAAGTATATAATAAGTGGTCTTCCGAGAACAGGCAACATTAGAATTGGTGGCTCTTGTAAATATTGTTTTATTGTTTCAAAGGTTGTTTGATAGTCTTCTTTCCACTCCACTAATTGATCTTTTCTGAGTATTTTAAATATAGGCTCGCATGTGGAAGTTAGGTGTGATATGAACCTTGAGATGTAGTTCAATCGTCCTAAGTAACCACGAACCTCTTTTTCTGTTCTTGGAGCTGGCATTTCTTGTATGGCTTTAACTTTATCAGGATCCACCTCAATACCTTGTTGGCTTACAATAAAACCCAATAGCTTACTCATCCTGACACCAAATATACATTTGTTTAGATTCAACCTCATTCTAAATTTTTGTAGACGTTCAAATAGTTTCTGTAAGTGAATTATGTGATCCTCCTCTGTGTGAGATTTGGCAATCATATCATCCATATATACCTCGACTTCTTTATGGATCATGTCATGAAATAACGTGATCATTGCTCGTTGATAAGTTGCCCTTGCGTTCTTTAGACCGAAGGGCATTACTTTGTAACAAAAAGTGCCCCAGGGAGTCATGAAAGTAGTCTTCTCCATATCCTCGGGT